GTGTGACGCCACTAGCGGAAAAAATTTACCCGCTAAATCTAGCGGAAAAAATTTCCCCATAAATCTACCTGGAAATAACTTCCCCATAAATCTACCTGGAAATAACTTCCCCACAAGATTTAGCGGAAAACATTTCCCCGCTTAATTTAGCGAAAAAAATTTCTCCACCAAATCTCCTGCAAACAATTCCCGGCTAAAGCTAGGGGCGAAATTGCCCCGCTAAATTCCCGCCAAATTTACACGCGACGCTCTCACCATAGATGTGCATTTTCTGCGAGTTGCGTTAAGCATACGTCGATCCACACCCATGTTAGTAGTGGCGGACTTTCCACCTTCTCCCCTCAGTACCCTTCCCTCTTCCTCCTCAAGAATTGCGCTCTAATTCGGCGTTACAGGGGATTGTAAGTGTCTTTAAGTTTTTGTTTACGTTTTGTAGGAAGCTAAGGCTCTAAGCAATTTGAATTGAAGGCACTGCAATATAATTCTTATCTGGAACCAGCCGCACTTCCAAGCGTTATTCGTGCTTAACAAAGCTCATTCGAAGCAGCTTTATGGGCTGTGAGGCAGAGAGTAATACGCGCTGTAAACCAGTGAAATTTACTCACCTCACAAAGCCTGATCCCTGCAGTGGGCTTGGAATTCTTTCGTTTTATGATAAAAAGCCCAACTCTCCTCCGCTTCGCATTAGCGTTCCTGCCTGACGAGAAGCGGAAGCGCCTTTTGCCGTTCTTTGGCCTGCTTCGGCACACGAAGGCACAGCAAGCAGGCATATCGGACTGGCGAAATGCGGAGCGTTAAGATGTAATTTCATTAAAATAAGTGTGCCACCCCGCTAACTGGCTGAGAAGCGACCCGGAGCGTTGCGGCAGGAGATGGCTGGACTCAGTATGGTCGCTCATGGCGGAGATTCCAAAAAGTGATAATGATAGTGACGGCACACGCCTGACGTGGCTGCTGCCGTCCAATGACGATACAGAATATTGAAACATACTCGGCTAGAGCAGGACTGTTGTCGGCAAAGCATTAAAGATTGGGAATGCGGTACTCTGACACAGTATTCAGTGAATCTACCATCCCCCAAACAAGGTGAGCTATTCACGCGGGAAGGGTCCACTTCGAAGAAAGGGTCGGAGGATTCCTCTTTTCAGTCAGGAAGACACGCCTAGCTGGACTTTCTTTGTGTCCGAAGTCGAAGGAATCGCAGACGGGGTTTGCGAGTTCATGTCTCTTTTTTTGCTGCCTGAACTCGTGATGCATGCGAACATCCTCAAGGAATACCTCCAGTACCAAAATAGCTAAACGTTGGCTTTGGAACGTTGATTAAACAGGATTTTGGATTGTGAAACAAGGTTGCCACACACAAGTCTCGAATGATCACGAGTGATTTCCAAAGGACCACCAACCGCGTCTCAGCGTGTCTGGACGGGGTCGCTCGCGAATCGTATCCACAACCGATTCGCAAACACGGCTCAACAGCCAGTGTGAATGCGCCATAACAGTTGCCACCGTAGGAAAAAAAAAATAACTTTTAAGTGGATTCGAATCTACAAAACCCTGAATACTTGCTTGATGCACTCGAACAAGCAACACTCATTAATATTTGCGAACGAAACACGAACACAGGAGCGCGAGGCCGTCGACAGATACCGCGCCTCCTGCAAGCCCCTTGAAACTGATAAAACTGAAGGGTGGAGAGTAGAGTACTGCGAGAGGGTGTGCGTCATATTCCGATGTGTTTTAAGCTCGCTCAACCCAACCCAAGTTTCTACGCTGTGCCGCTGTTGCGCTGGAAGTTCCGTCGCTGTTCGCATTTCATTCGAACCCAATAGCACGTGTATTAATATGAAAGAGAAATAGAGACAACGTTTAACACAAGCCGACAGACTCAAACTTACCTGAATTCATTCACCATTCAAGAAAAAATAAATACAAGTTGAGAAAAAGAGAGAGGGAAAGAGAAATAGGAAAACAAACATGCCCACAGAACAGCAGCTGCGCGAAGGAAGACAGTATATATCTTAGTTTCCCCGCCCGATTAGGCACAGATAGGTCACCCACTGAGCTAAAGAAACCTAACCTAGTAAATACTATGAGTCCGCCTACGAGCTGGTGGAAGTTCGCCATCATGAACTCAACCCAAGAATGGAGCAGAATGAGCAAGTTTTTTTGACAGTGGTAGAAAAACAAAACGGGACAAAAAACAAAATGAACTAAAGGTTTCACTTAATCGCCCTCCCTTTGAACACCCTCATTATATACACATCACCCTCTTTATATCACCTTATAGCAGCGTCCCTATATCACCCTTCTTTTATGTAAGAAAAAAAAACATTCTTTCCCGGTATTTATAACTGTCAAAAATATTTTTCCTGCACTTGTGTTGGGTTAAGTTCAATCGTTTCTTGTATTGATACTGGCAGCCATATTTAGGGCTACGAAATGGTGAATAAAATACGTAAACGAGAAATATCCAAGTGACCGATAAAAAAACAGTTTAACGTATAATCAAGTTTCTCGTCGAATTCAAAACGCCACTTATCTGAAAAAATTACGTATCTTTCAAAACTTCATCATACAAAAAAGTTCTACTACATTACTACAAAATAAACTGATAGAGTTGCATTTAATTGGTGGCACAGACAATAATATTTTCAATGCTCTCTACAATTTAACTGAGGGACGTTGATGACACAGTGATATCAGGTGGCATATATTCCAGTCGTCAATGGTTTTAGGGAAAAAAAACTATTTAAAACAATCATTTCGCAAAAATAGATTTGGGATGCACATGCTGTGGTGATGACTTGAGCATTTATGAGCACGAACTTAAAATAATTCTTACTTTTTTAATATGTACATCAATATTAATAATCTGGGAAAAGAATTACATTTTTTCGAACTTATCCCTCGACTACAAGGCTGGAATATTTGGGAGTTTCCACAGTTATATATGGGAATAAGTGCGGGAATATGTGTTACAAACATATCTGGATGCTGGTCGCCGAATTGTGCTTAAATTTTAAAATAACTTTTTGCGGTATGTGTATCTCATGCAATATTTGGGTATGCTCAATGACGAATCTCACCAGGGCCAGGTAAATGAATGAAACTAAACAAATGAATGAAGCTTGACCGCTAACCTCGTTGTTTGTTATATTTGCCATGAAAAACAAACTTGCAAATATCATATTATAAATCTGGATTATCAGCACAAAACTATTTCAAAGTCATTGCAAATATTCACATATTTAAAAAGTTGATATATTACATAAACGCCACAAGGTCTAGCACATGATGCTGCTAAACACAACCAAACGCGTCGTTCTACTGGGACGTAACACCGTAAGGCAGTTCAAGCTCACTAAAAATGTGGTTCATATAGGCCTTGAAAAAAAGGAAGGTGGTTTTAATTTTTGACTTGTTTTATTGCCAATCCTACGCTATTCTTATTGTTTCTCTCCAATTACATGCTAAAAGGCCTTGACGAGATAGTTGTGAGAGAGATAAAAACAATACTCGCCAATGTCCGTCACGCTTTTACTGTTGTCAGTTGCATCAATTAATGAAGTGCAAAAAGAAAAACCCTGTGCTCATCGTGATCCTGATTGACACAGAGACTGTATACTAACAAAGTAAGAAAGGTCATTATCGGTAAATTGTAAAAGACAGACGCTGTTACTGCTTGAGAATAGCGATACATTACCATAAGAATTGCCCGTCTTTGTAACAATGATTGACATTAGCTTTGATCTATTTGCCTCCACCTCCTTCACCGGTGCAGATAAGTGTAGGGCAGTAGACGTCCGGTGTGTGTATCGAGATACGACCGGGAAAACACCGCCCGACACTTTCCTCTGCCGGTGTAGGGGGTGAGGCAAACCAACCGCAGCTATTGTTGACGAGATGCAGTGCATTAAGGCCCTTAATTGTTTGAAATATCACAGATGACTGGGGAACATAGATTAGAACTTTGGCTGCAAAGTGCCTGTCAAAGTATTGTTGAGTTTTTAAAATACCTTTCTTGGCATAGATTGATATTCTAGATATATGGTATGTATATGAGCTTTCCAATAGAATATGAAATTGCAATGTACATGCCGGTTACGTCAACGAGCAGAATGACTGACAAGTCTGCAGCACTCATTTTTTCTTGGATAATACGTAAAAAAACTCCATCATCGTAAACCCCAAACAAAAACACCAATATACATTATAAAATAATCCAGGCATGCTTAGTCAGAGTTTTTTTTTTATTGTTTTAAGTTTGAAGGCAATTTTTTTAGAACACACAAAATATTTGAAGGCATATCTTTCTAGAAAAACACAAATTTAGTTTTCCTTAATTAAGAAAAACAACCCTGAAGTAATATGTCTTATAAGTTTAAAAGTGGGTGCGTTATTTCGTCCAGACTGTTTACAGATTTAACTGAAGTATTTAGCTTTTTCTTTAAATATTGCATGTTCTTGTAGTCACGAAAGGTTAAAACTGTCAATGGCAATTGTGTTTTTATACAATCACAACAATAAAAACAATTTAAACAATAATAAAAAATAGTGCCTCGAAATCTAATCGGATTCGTACCTAAATTCGACGTGCTTAAGAGGGTGTCATAGAAATATTTATCTCTCGTGTTCATTGTAAAAAACAAAAGCAGAAGATCACTTGAACATTTCAGGGTAATAGATAGACGGTTGTTAGGGATGCAAGTCATTACCGGTTTACACTGTGCTCAACGTTGGCAATCTAATTCATGATCGTGTGTAGAGCGTACGGCATCATGATCGATATGATATATGCCAGCCTTCTTCCAGAGTAAATATATCTTTTCAGCTCAGCTTTTTTACAAAAAGTTAAAAAGAAAAAACTTTAGCTTTAACTTTAAATTTTTTTTTTTTATTTTCCAGCGAAACGCCGAGTTTACACAAATGCAGTCTTTCTTTCTTTTCTTTTTCGATCGTTGCGGGTCCTTCTATTGAGTTTAAACGTGATCTTGATGTCTTCATATTTTCTCCATCCGCAGCCAAGCTCCCCCATCGGCGAATGCTAGACTCACTGGCGAAGCATACTTGATGGTTCTCTGAAAGAGAAGATATCCCAAGTAATACTGGGTTACATCCAGGGGAATCTACCCAATTCGCTATCAGATCGCGTGACCATTGGAAAGCTATATTGCATGGCCAACTCAATGGTTAAGCTGACTGCTCCAAAAATAGTGATGAAAAGTGCGAATGCACTGATGTTCTGTATTTTTAAAAGCATACTCATAATTCAAGTTACTTTATAATTACGAACTAATAATGGCGAGCTTTCCCAGGGGAGAGCCGAGGGCAAGCCATTTCCTTAGTTGAGAAAGATTAGCATTGCACGAATAATTTCTATCACGTTTGGGATTTTAAATAGGAAGTACGCACTTAAAAAGCCAGAGCGCATAAAAGTGATCCTCAGAGATTTGCTGCGATTCAAATTTCATGGCAGAAAGTATCTCGGCGACCTATCATTTGATCAAGTCCGCCGAGGAATAGCAATTACTGACTTTGTTGTATTTAGTGGAAGCACAGAAAGCAGCATTTTTTTGATGACAGTAGTCCGAACTCTCCAATAGTTTGTCGAATGCAGGAATCCGCCATAAATTTAGTTCACAGGAGGCAGACGGCAGTAACCGATACGGCTCGTGCCGTTCTGTGCTGAGCAAGCGCAGAGTTCGAGCGAGGCTGTCACAAATGCAGAAAGACTAAATTCCCTCGATTCATGGCAGCATCGGTGCACTGCGGCATCAGCACATGAGCTAATCCCTTTCAACTGTGTAACGGCAAAAGCTGATTAATAGACATTTTGCATGAAGTTGCTGTACAGGCGACTGCGCGAGGGCGAGGGTAGACAATAAACTACGTTACCCTCTAACTCTCTTCAGAATCATGTGCTAGTTGCTATCCGCATTACTATCGGGGAAGAGGGCCGGACAGGGGGGGGGGGGGGGGGGGGGGGCGCAAGGAAAAGCATACTGGATTGCGCGTGTGGCCTTGTGGGATTTTTGCAGAAGGTCGCCTTACCTTGTCTGGATGGTCGCTCAAATGCAACTTGAACTTGGCCACAATCTTAGACAAAATTAATGCGAGTGCCATTTCGGCGAACCGCGCCCCTGGACAGATCCGTTGTCCGATGCCGAAAGGCATATAGGCCGCAGGCTCCATCGTTTTCTTGTTTTCCGGGTTGAATCTGGTTGCAAAAAAAAACATATATTTTGATATAAAAAGTTCGCTGGACATCAAGTCAAAGGGTAAGAGAACTGCATTAAAAAAGTAATGAGGTCCCCCGTGGTTGAACGGAAATTAGAGCAAGTAACCACGTTACTGCGTTAACTCGTAAGCTTACAATGCGTTGGAAGCTACGCGCTCCCCAGATTAAACCGCTGCCTCACATTCATGGCCTCACCCGGCTCTGTTCATGGGCATGGGCTGGAGCGTGGTCATGTGGCGAGACATTGACATATAAATGTATCATGGGGTACATAACCTCCAAAGCACTGTCAGCTTAGCCGTGAAAGGATTATTGAAAGGATACAGGACATTGGCACCGTTCGTCGGAGGCGTACACTATTAGAGGGACGCTGTAATGAGAGATGGCGCTCGCGTTTGTGAAGAAAATCATGCGGCGTATGAAACTTTCCCGTTCGGACGGTCTGCCCAACACCACCTAGAATAGCCGAGGCCTGCACACTAATGCATTGACGTCATCACAGTGAGATCATGCTATGCCGCGGATTGGATACAAGCGCTGCGGCAATGTTCGGATGGGCACCGTGCCCCAATCGACCGATCTCACTAAGCGTTCGGCGCATGCGTGACGCCGCCACAACTTTAGTTCACAGGAGGCAGACGGTAGTGCACGAGAGGGCTCGTGCCGTCTCGTGCTGCACACGCGATGAGTTCCAGCGGGGTTGTCGCACGTACAGAAAGACTAAAGTTCCCTCGTTTCTTCGCGGCAGCGGTGGCGTAGTCAAACTGGCTGGTGAGATCGGTCTATTAATGCGTCCTTGACGCACGGCACAGGGCTAGGGGACAATAATCTATCTCAGAAATGTGTGGCGTCCTCATCGCCTGCTCGGTCCATTATGAAGATCCGTTCATGGCCATTGAGAATTCTCGCGAGCTTTACTCCAGTCTGTCGAAACGCTCGGCTGCGCAGCAGAGAAAGCGAGCTGAGCCAGTTCTCCAGATCTCTGACGAACCTAGCCAGATCTCCAGATCTCCGGATTTGGCGCTTATAACGAAGCCCGAAACAGAAACAAAATCGGCTCGAAGCATGCTGTCAAGTGAGGTCCCGCGGCATGAAGCTCGCACTTTTCATTATTCCCAACATCATAATAGAGACAAGTAAGTCTATCACTCTTGATCCGTAATTTCTATTCGCTGCTCCGGTATTTTGCACAGTTTCCCTGGACAACACGTCAGACTGTATGATACAGTGTAACTCTATATTTGTCGTCTGCGGATACTTTTTTTTTTGGTTATTGGGTCAGGCATACAACTATCTCTGTCGTTATGCATGCCAACAGCTTTCTGAGCTTCTCTTACGTGCACGAATATATGTTCTACAGCTTTCGCGCTTTGAAAGATAAACATGTTTCGGAGAGAGACGAGGAGCACACTTCTTGCTGCACCCAATTGTTCTCTAGACCGACGATATCGGTGATGATGATAATTCGCGGACGTTTCATTCCAGTGTTTGATTTGGTTGCGAGCGCCACCAAGCGTTCCGCAGCAACAGTCTCTACCGGCGAATGCAATGGCTAGTGGAGCGCAACCAGCACGCGGAAAATTTCAGAGGCCATGATTCATTGCATTGATTGTGTAATAGTGCCAATGACTAGAAAAGAAGTTAGTTAATCTCACATTTTTTATATATTTTTTTTTATTATAGAACGCAAAAAAATAGAGAAGGATAAAAAAACGAGTTGGTATGCCCCATTTAATTGGCACCATTCTATTTTCATTTTATTATAAACTGACAGAAATAAAAGAAAGGATTATGTCGTGCCGCTTCTAAGACACACAAAAGGACCCGAATCGGCCCTGAGCGTACATTTTAACAGCCTCACGATTTCCTTCGTCACGCATTCCAATCTGGGATGGCCTCGAGGCCCTGTGGGATTTTATGGAGTGGTGCATTGCTAAATTAGTTGTCAGCTGTGTATAAAGCGGAAGGTTAGCGTGCCAGAAACGTGGCGTCATTGTTACCCATTGTAGAGAAGAAAAATAACCGGTGCAGAACGATCGCTAGCCCTGGGTCTTTAACGTGCATCACGCAGCAGTGATTTATGGCCGCACGCCGGTGCGATGCTCATCCAGATCGAAACAGGCAAGGGTGAAGATTGAACCCAGTACCCCTGGGTTCTTCAGCGCCAGGTGCATTGCGGAGTTGGCGCAATCTATCTTGTACGACATTCCACGGAGGAAGAGAAGGATGTTGGTAGGCATCGTATTTTTAGGTGGTGTTGGTCAGTCCAGTATGGCAAATGAGCGGCATTATTTTCATGCTCTTTTAAATTACAATATTTCTCCTCACTAGGTTTTAAGAGTAGTAGCAGGTCTCCCAGTAGTAAATACTTATTAAATGATCACTACTGCAGTTAAAAAATACCCGCACGTTCGCTTTCAAGACACGAAAAACAAATTGTCTTGAACTCGCTTGAAGTCACGAATTACTTAAGCTGTCGCTTAAGAACATTTACCTACAGCTATGAATACATAAAAAACTTTAATATTCTGAACGAGGTTAGATGTGCAAGATGTTTTAAAAAGCTGTACAAAATGATTTTTTGTTTGGTTTTACCGCAAAAAATGAACTACTCATGGCCGACCGCTCATCCTTCCCGAAATGTAACACTACCTGTCCCAAACAGATGCCAAGTTTAAAAACTAACCGTCGTCTTATGCAAAAGTTATAAGCGATGGGGAAATGGCGCTATACAGAACCCCCGAACGCGTGGAGCTGAATGGTGCAAGTTAACGGGAATGGGCCCCGTTTCCATTTATATTTTTTTGTGAATCATGGATAACGTTTCACAAAGATAATGGTGAGTTCTGAAATCTTTGCATCTGGTTCGGACCAGTAGCGCTAACTATGGCCCAAGAGTTAACATTCGGCGATGACTAGCTCATTTTTGCGGTAAAAAAAAAAAAAACTGTAAATTTTTGAAGGGACACGCATTATATGTGAAGTTAATATTGACAGTTCTAATTATTTCATACCCAAAGTCTTTACTCAGGGTAATAAATGAGTACTATGCATTTTTTTCGTTCTAATGACAACAACCCCAGTGACTTCAGGTTGGCATTTTACCTGTCAGGATTGAATTCGTCGGGGTCGACCCAGTATCTTGGATCATGGTGCATCAGTCGAACGGGAACCTGAATCTGCGTTTCCTTTGGGATGCGAAATCCGTTGAATTCAAAGTCCTTCTCACATTTTCTGTTCACTTGTCTGGACGGTAGAATGAATTAAGATATTTAAGGTGCATAGAGCATTTGGCACTCTCATTTCAACATACGAATGCCTAAGCCTTAACCAGTCAGTGTAATTCAGTCACCTTCGTACGTAACTAAAATAATTACGATGAAAACACCATAATTAAATATTATAACGTATCAAAACGCTCTAGGCTTTACTGTTTCTTATGTTAAATTTAAATTGCAAATCAGCCCTTTGTGCTATCAAAAATATGTGGTGTAATATGCACGAAAATTTTGTATTTTATTTGAAAACTTTAGTGCATCAGATCGTCTGTCAACTCAAATGCCTTTGACTAGACACTCTAATAAACGCCATTCTTTTTTCACTGTTACCTATGGTCAATAATGTTATCTATATAGCGAATAAAATAAATGCAATAAACTCGAGGTTCACGTAGCATTTCAATAAAATTAGGACACCTACCCTGGAAGTGGAGGATATACTCTTAGCGATTCTGAAATGACTTGGCTCAAGTACTGCAGCTTGGAGATGTTGTCGTAGGTTATACTTCCCTACAAAAGCGATTAAAAAAGAAACTAATTAATTTTTAAGATAGCAGGACCCACGAACAAAACGTCTAGAAAGATATACCACATATTGGGTTTTATATGAGACGCTTCAAGTCACACTATTAGAGCAAAATTGTGCCATTTACATTTTATTCAATTTATTTAGCTCAAAGACATCATTCCAGGCGTATCAAAGGAGCGATAATTTGAAGAATTCGAAATAATTGCCTGTGTTAAACATTAATGCTAAATGCCTTGTCACTAAGTTTACAGAGTTTTCGTGCATTACAGCGTCTTAATCACCGAGCGTGATGCGTGTTACCGAAACCTGGTTACACAATGCCATTCTTGACTGCGAATTCACACCTCCTAAATGCAACGCGGTACGATGCGATAGATCTTCTAGAGGTCGTGGTGTTGCGCTATTTTTTTTATAAATCTGGTATTAACTTCTCTATTCTCCTCAGTTTACCTAACACAGTCTTTAGTGTAAGGTGCAGCTTGCTAAGTTGGTTCTTGTTATCGTCGCGGTTTACCACGTTTCTGGATCGAGCCTGCAAGCCGTCTAGGACATATATGACTACATTTACAAATACAATCTGGCAAATTTTAAGCATGTCTTGCTGGGCGATTTTAATGTGCCCATTCTGGAATCTGGAAAACGCTAGCGGTTGGCTGTCGAGATAGGCCATTTTTAATTATATAGCAGATGCGAATGTGTCATTTGACTTAGATCAAGCTTGAAACTGGGCACCAGAGATAATTTTGTTCTTGATCTTGTTTTTCTAACCCATAGTATTACGAACCTTGGTTATCACAGCGAGGTGGCCGAGCGAATTTCTGATTATAAAGTTGGCCGAGTTTGCCTCAAAATTTGTATAAATCATTCAAACCCTGATTCTGTCAAGCTCCTTGATTTCAAAAAGACTGACGATGTATCAATACTTTATAGACTTAGTCGATAGGTTGCTTAGATATTTTAACACCCTTATATATCAATGCGTCAACAAATTTGTACTTGTTACTAGAAAGAAAAAAGAACCCTCCGCACGCCTGGGTAGCGAGAGAGGTGCTGCAGTTGAAGCGGAAAACGAAGAGGAAATGTCGTTCAACGAAACATAACGCAGACTAAGTTGTTCATACCTTGTTTGAATATCTCATCACAACTTTAAAAGAAAAAATGATAACAGCTAAAAAGCTATTTTGATGGGACTTTGTCTGCATATATTAAATTAAATCCTGCCAAATTTTGGAGGTCTATTATTCCAAAATGTAACGTTTCGCAAAGTTTTTTTATTCGATGTGAATGTGTTAGCGAACCGATGAAGATAGCAAACTGTTTTAATGATTATTTTAAACCTGTATTCAGTAGTGAAAATGGTAATGATTTTGATTTTTTCTTTGATAATATATACCCACTTTATTTGATTCGGAGACTAGTGTTTCTGGTGTCCTCAGTCTTCTAATGAAACTTGACTTTGAAAATAGCCCTGGTCATGATGGAATTCCTAATTCTTTTCTTAGCCGATATTCCCTTGGGACTTCAAATGCCTATCTGTCATTTTCGAAAGATCAATTTCTACAGCAACAGTACCTCGCTCATGGAAGTCACCTAAAATCATCCCCTTGTTCAAGTCAGGCAACAAGCGGGTGGTTACAAACTACAGACCCATTTCGCTCACATCGTCTTCATTAAAACTCTTGAAACATTAGGTATATAAGCAGATATCTGAGTACCTCGACGCTAATTTTAGTTTTTGCCCACAACCGCACGGTTTTCGTCGTGGCTATTCCACCTCAGCCCAACTTCTTGAATTCACTCACAACATAGCTTTGGTTTTAGATAAAAGAGGACAAGGTGATGCTATCCCTGTAGATAATTCCAAGGCTTTCGATAAAGTGCGACATCATAAGTTTCTTCAGAAAATACAACTAATATTGAATAATACATCATTAATTAATTGGATCGAAGATTATCTAAAAATATATCACAGTTTGTCTCATAGAAGGATGCTCATTCCAGAAATGTCTCAGTTAGTTCTGCTGCCCCACATGGATAAATCTCAGGAACTGTTTTGTTATTACTTTATATTAATCATGTCGCAAATCCAGTTGAAATTTGCCTTTATGCAGATGAGTGTGTTTTGCACAAAGAAATCAACTTGTTGGATTACGATGCCTTGGTGAAAGTCTTTTTTGTACAGTTTCTTAATTGGAGTCAGACGTGGCAGATGAAAATGAATTTTCCGAAATTTTTGGTGCTGACATTTACTAATAAAAAGCAACTGTCTGTTTTAAATATGGCACTGAAAATATAATTCTGCGTCGAGTTCATGCATACTAGTCTAACATGGCATAAGCGCATTTGCTATATCTGTTTTTGTGCTCTGGAAAGGCTAGGAAATGTCAAAACAACCTTAAAATCTTTAATTGAGGAAGTTAAAATAACCGCGTATAAGACCTTGATTAGGCCGATATTAGAGTATAATTGTGTCTTATGGGGTCCAAATCTAAATTGCGATATTGCCGCGCGCCAAGTAGGCACCGCGGCCGTAGCACAACGGTTATCGCGCTTACCTCCCACGCGAAGGGCCAGGGTTCGATTCCTGTCCGCGGCTACGCATTTTTGTTTACACTGTAATGTGATGTTCTAGTGAATTCGAGAACCGTCTAGCTGATTCGAGGTTAGAATGTTCTCCGCGTCTAACCTTCTACATCGAACGCTCCAGAAGCCAACCCGTGTACACAAGCGGCTCCGCCTGGCAAGTAGGAGTCAGTCTCGCCCCAGCGTTCGACTCTGCTGCCACGCCGACTTCGACGCCCGCGACGCTCTATTATTTTCTTTTGTACTCTTTTTTTTTTTTTTGGCACAAGTTCGCCACATTAAACGTTTATTTCTTCCTGTTTATTTGTTATTTTTGGTCACTACCCGTGACAATATTAAGCAGATTGACGCAATACAAGCAAACGCAACAAGATATAATTGTAATAGATAAGACCGCATTTTTTCCCCCACAGCTTTCATGGATGACATAGGACTCATGCCTCTTGATTTCAGACGCGCTGTAGAACGACTTAAGCTCCTTCACAGTAGTGAATAATAACCGTATACATCATTGGGGAAAAATGCATTGCTTTTTTTTTTACTCAATCACGCACTCGAAACTTCCATCCTTTATGTCTTGTACCATACAAAGTTCACCTTAACTGTCTTAAATGTTCATATTTCCCAGAATGATAGAAAACTGGAACAACATAAATAAATCAGTTCGTTATATCGATTTTGACATATTTGGATTAGAAATACTGTAGGTTACTTTGTGTTGTGCCTGTGAGTTTACTAGTAAAGTGTATGAGATTGTACTTCTACTCTTTTTCAAATATATTGTATTTTTCACGACTCTCTTAATTTTTTTTATAAGGTATGTACATCTTTAATTGATTGTGTTTTGAATATATATGCATGTTTTCTATCCACTTCTGTGGTAACCTTATTGATGTAGGACTATTTTGGAATAAATAAATACCTGTAAAAAAAATAAAAAAAATACAAGGAAACAAAGAAATGAAAGAAACGCACAATGAGCGAATCGAGCCTATTTATTAACATATTTAATCAGGCATTATCATCTGTTTTTACTAGAGAGCCTGGATTTAATTTCCCATGCAACCTTCGAATATATATTCAACGATGACGGCATTTCATTCGAAAATATAAAACTGTCAGCGTCAACCGGTGACGATAAAATTAATACATTTTTCTTAACAATACCAAGCACATTTCGGCAATCTACATTTCTTTACTGTCTTTTAAGTCACTTTCCACGAGCATCAATCCAGCTGACTGGAAAATGGGAAACGTTGTTCCAATCTACAAATTAGGTAACAAAGATACCCTATTGGACTATCGTTTCATTTCTCGCACGAACGTGCCTTCCAAAATCATGAAGCCTGTAATCGATTCTCGAATCATGAAATATTTGGACTCGAATAATTTGTTCCGCAAGTCCCAGCATTGGTTTCGTAAGGATTACTCTCGCGAAACTCAGCTGGCCATCTTTCTTTATAATCTGCATTCAAACTTTGACTCCAGTATCCAGACTGACGCCATTTTCTTAGAATTCGTTAAAGTCTTGACAAAGTTCCTCACAAGCGCTTCTTACTAAAACTTGCAGTGTTAATTTTGAATCCCAACATCTTCGATTGGAGCAAATAATTTTGATCAATTTCTCCCAATCTTTTAATATTAACAACCATACGTCACATATCCTCCCAGTAACTTAAGGTGTCCCGCAAGCATCTGTTCTTGGTCCGCTTCTGTTATACATAATAATGATCTATTGCAGCACGTGTCTTCCTCTATTCGCATGCTCGCGTGAGTGTGTTATCTATCACTCAGTCACTAAACCTGCTCACCAAACTGCCCTTCAGAATGATCTTAACACCATTCGGCTATGGTGCAACCGCTGGCTAATTACACTTACCCCTGACAATTGTAAACTTATGTCTTCTCACCGCCGCCGTATCTTCCATGTCTTCCCTTATCTTGTCGCTCAAAATCCTGTTGAATTAGTGCACTGATACAAATACTTTGGCGTCACTCTCTGCAACAATCTACTATGGTGTTTGCGTACCACTAACATTATCGTATCTGCAAACCTAAAGACTAGGATTCACGAGGCGTCACCTAAGGTGCCACCTTAAACACGTCAAAATACCAACCTACAAATCACTTCTTAGATTAAAGTTAGAATGTGCATCCGCCATCTGAAGTTAATATCAAGTTTATCTTACTAACGCTCTCAACGGAGTTCAAAATCGCGCCACTAGATTCATTAATTCTCCATATTTGTACGATATTATCATTTCATTATTGAAAGTTGAATCAAATCTAGCTAACCCGTATTGTCGTGACCGCATAAACAATCTATGTTTATTTAAAAAGTTATATTATTCTTCGTTCGCCCGTGCACCGTACATTGCACCTCCTGCACGCATATCCC